ACGGCTGTTGTAGGAAAATTCGGAAAAGGAAAGAGAAATCCCACAGATTCCCCCCACCCAAAGCCCACCACAGTTACCAGGTTTTTTATTTTTTTGAGACGGAGTCTCGCTGTTATTACCCAGACTGGAGTGCAATGGCGCGATCTCGGCTCACCGCAACCTCCGCCTCCCGGGTTCAGGCAATTCTCCTGCCTCAGCCTCCCGAGTAGCTGGGATTACAGGCGCATGTCACCACGCCTGGCTAATATTTTATTTTTAGTAGAGATGAGGTTTCACCACGTTGGCCAGGCTGGTCTAGAACTCCTGACCTCGTGATCTGCCTGGCTTGGTCTCCCAAAGTGCTGGGATTACAGGTATGAGCCACTGGGCCCAGCCAGTTACCAGTTTTTTTCAGACAAGATCTCGCTCTGTCACTGAGGTTGGGGTGCAATGGTGTGATCTCGGCTCACTACAACCTCCGACTCCGGGGTTCAAGGGATTCTCCTGCGTCAGCCTCCTGAATAGGTAAGATTATGGGCGCACCTGCCATCGTGCCTGGCTAACTTTTTGAATTTTTAGAAGAGACGGGGTTTCATCATGTTGCCCAGGCTGGTCTTGAACTCTGGGGCTCAAGCAATCCTCCTGTTTTGGCCTCCCAAAGTGTTGGGATTACAAGGCATGAGCCACCATACCTAGCCCACAGTTTTTTTAAAAAGTAAAATAAAGACGAGATCTTGTTGGTGCTCAGGCTGGAGTGCAATGACGCAATCATAGCTCACTGTAGCCTCCGACTCCTGGGCTCAAGCGATCCTCCCACCTCAGCCTTCCCACTCGCTGGGATGACAGGCTTGAGCCACTGAGCCCGGCTCCGTCCCCACAGTTTTAGGAAGTGTATTTTCCTGGTGGACATACATACATAAGTGCTTCCCCACATTATAACAAATTCCTTGTAAACAGCAGTTCAGACACTGCAAAAATATCCCATTCTGTGACTATCCCACAGATACTAAAATGAAAAATAAAAAATAAAATAAAAACAGACCAGATGTGGTGCCTGGAGCCTGTAATCCCAGAGCTTTGGGAGGCCGAGGTGGGAGGATCTCCTGAGGACAGGAGTTCGAGACCAGCCTGGGCAACATAGCAAGCCTCTGTCTCTACCTCCAAAAAGTAAAATAATAAATAAGTAAATAGTATACCAGAGAGACGGCGACCTGCAAAGCAGCCCAGTCTCTCCCACGGCTGGCCCACGGCAAGCTGCAGAGAATTCTGCTCTGGCTTGAAAATTATTCCCAACTCCCTCTTCCCAGGAAAACTCCTCTTGTGAGGCTGCTGCTCACAGACTTCGTCAGCGAGAAAATGACCAAATCAGCAGTTTCGGTGGAGACAAAAGGCCTGGGTGAGAGGTCAGCTGGGACAGCAACCCCCCACCCCCAGCCTGTGTCCCCCGCGCCTGCCTCCCCAGCCATCACTGGGGTCTGATGCCAGGTCAGGGACCAAGGCCAGGACCCCAACCCCCACATCAGACAGCATCAGGTCTAGCTACGGGAAGACTTAGAAAAACCCCAATGCAAACTTTAACAGGACAGAGCCTGTCTTCTCTCCCCTGGAGCAAGGACAAAGGTGTCCCTCTCAGGTGAGTTGCCGGTTGAAGCTCCGCCTACCAGTGGTCAGGTAAGTTCTGTTGGCTGCAGGCTGTTGCTCTGAATAATACTGGGGGCCATCAGTGAGGGGGGGGAGCCTGTAGGAGTTGGGGGGGCCCAGCCTACCTCCCGAGGCAGGCATGAGAGGCTAGATCTGCTGGGCAGGGGCAGGTGAGTTCACGTGAGCTCAGGTACATCCCAGCAGGACCCGTGTCACCTTGGCAAATCCCTACCTCTCTTTATTTGATTTTTATTTATTTATTTTGAGACAGAGTCTTGCTCTGTCACCCAGGCTGGAGTGCAGTGGCGTGATCTCAGCTCACAACCGCCACCTCCTGGGTTCAAGCGATTCTCGTGCCTCAGCCTCCTGAGTAACTTGGGATTACAGGCACGCGCTACCACACCCAGCTAATTTTTGTATTTTTAGTAGAGATGGGGTTTCACCATGGTGGCCAGGCTGGTCTCGAACTCCTGACCTTGTGATTCCATGATCCACCTGCCTCAGCCTCCCAAAGTCCTGGGATTACAGGTATGAGCCACCGTGCCCTGCCTATTTTATTTATTTTGTATTTTTTGAGGTGGAGTTTTGCTCTGTTGCCCAGGCTGGAGTGCAGTAGTGTGATCTCCGCTCACTGCAACCTTTGCCTCTTGGGTTTAAGCCATTCACAAGTCTCAGACTCCTGAGTAGCTGGGATTACAGGCATGTGCGACCACGCCCGGCCAATTTCTGTGTTTTCTGTGGAGACGGGGTTTCACCATGTTGGTTAGGCTTGTCTGAAACTCTTGACCTCAGATGATCCTCCAGCCTCAGCCTCCCAAAGTGCTGGGATTACAGGTGAGCCACCGCGCCCAGCCAGGTTATGTCTAACATACAGGTCATGAATCCCAGCCACAAAGAACGATTCGCTCCTTGTTTCCTGAACACCGCCCGCTGCACCCTGAGTCCCCTCCCTCCCTCTGGGTTCACACCTCCTACAGAAGCCCAGTCTTCCTGGAGCTCACTCTGAACCTCTTCCCTTCTTGGCCTCCAAGTCTGGTTCCCCCACATCAACTGGGCACCTCCTCAGGGCTGACCCCATGCCCAGCCTCCATCATGACAGCATCGAATGTCTGTTGAACTGAATTGAAACACTCTCCCCAGTTTACAAATGGGGTAACTGAGTTCAAAAGGTTCAGGCCAGGCACGGTGGCTCACAGCTGTAATCCCAGCACTTCGGGAAGCTGAGGCGGGAGGATCATCTGAAGCCAAGAGTTTGAGACCAGCCTGGACAACATAATGAGACCCCAGCTCTATAAAAATTAGCGGGGCATGGTGGTGCATGTCTGTAGTCCCAGCTACTCTGTAGGTCAAGGCAGGAGGATCGTTTGAGCCCGGGAGTCCGAGGCTGCAGTGAGCTATGATCACGCCACGGCACTCCAGACTGGGTGACGAGTGAGATCCCTTCTCTAAGAAAAGGTTCACTCCTGGGAGGCAGAGGTTGCAGTGAGCCGAGATCGCGCCACTGCACTCAAGCCTGGCAACAGAGCGAGACTCCGTCTCAAAAAAAGAGAAAAAAAGTGAGAGGTTCACTCATTTCTCAAAGATTATGGATACCAAGACAGTTGAGGGGTGGTAATGCTGACTTGCCAAGTTCATTCATTCATTCAACAAATATTACTGGATGTCTACCCTCGGCCAAGCATCGCACTGGGTCCCTTAGGGGATAAGAACAAGATCATACGTGGCACCTCCCTGCCACAGAACAGCGGTCTCACCATACAGACCACAACACCCACCTCCCCCAACACCCACATCCTTGCACTGAAGGGAAAAGCAGAAACATTTAAGCTCTGCCTTGAAGGGGAAGTATGATTTGTCAAACAGAGAAAGTGGGCAGGGCAGGACTGGTAGAACGGCCAGCAACGTCAAAGGCATCCAGGCTAGCTTATCAAGGGGAGACAGAGGGAGACCAGGCCACAGAAGCCCACTGCAGCCTGGTCACGGACGGACGGGTGTCGGGATTTGGTCACTGCTTGGATCCTGAGCTGTCACTTGGCATCAGTGTCTCCACCCAGGAGGGGACCTGGCAGCTGGCTCAACTCCTCTGAAATACCAGTAGATGCATCCTGTCCTGGGGAGAGTTCATTTGTATCTTGGGAGCCAATCACCATGAGATCCTTTTTTTTTCTGAGATGAGGTCTCACTCTGTCGCCCAGGCTGGAGTGCAGTGGCACGATCTTGGCTCACTGCAACCTCCACCTCCCAGGTTCATAGGATTCTCCTGCCTCAGCCTCCTGAGTAGCTGGGACTACAGACATGCACCACCATGCCCAGCTAATTTTTTGTATTTTTAGTAGAGATGGGGTTGCACCCTGTTGGCCAGGCTGGTTTCCCGACCTTGAGCTCCGCCTGCCTTGGCCTCCCAAGTGCCGGGATTACAGGCCTGAGCCACCAAGCCCAGCGGTTTTTTGTTTTTTTGAGACAGAGTCTTACTCCATGTTGCTCAGGCTGGAGGGCAGTGGCTTCATCACGGCTCACTGCAGCCTCGACCTCGTGGGCTCCAGTGATACTCCCACCTTAGCCTCCCCAGTAGCTGGGACCACAGGCGTGCACCCGGCTCATTTTTGTACTTTTTGTAGAGATGGAGGTCTCACTATGTTGCCCAGGCTGGTCTCCAACTCCTGGCCTCAAGCGATCTGCCCGCTTTGGCTTTTCAAAGTGCTGGGATTACAAGCCACTGCCCAGGCTATGAGATCCTTGATAACCACGAGACCCTATGCCACAGCTCCCGACCCACGCTGGCCCCGACACAGACCTTAAGTGTTCGCCCCAGCTGCACCTTCCCCTTCTCATTCCTTTCTGTCCAGCTCCAACAGCATCTCACCTTCCCAAGCTGCGGTCCCTCCCAAAGACCCCGAGACATCTTTGCAAGCACTGCATGGCTGGAGGATGCGTTTCACCAAATGCGATGTAAGCGGCACCAGGTGCCCAGCGCGGAGGTGGGTGTGGGCGAATCCCCGACGCTCCGCCAATGACAGCTGCGGCCTGGGAAGGGGAAGGGGCTAGACGGGGGTGAGGGGGAAGAGGTTGCTCCGCGTTTTCCGCCCGCCCGCCCGCTTTCCGCGCGGAGCCGCGGCCTGAGAACCGCAAGGCCGCCCGCGCGCGCCTGACCCGCCCCCACTCGCCCCAGGCCCCGCCCTCCCGCGCCCGCCCCAGCGCCGGCCCCTTTTGTTCCCTCCCGGAGCCGGGCCGCTGGCTCCGCTGGCTCCGCTGGCGCTCGGCTCGGCTCGGCCGCGGGGCGCGCAGGCGGCTGCCCGGCGGCCTCGGTGCGCGCCTCCCGCCTTCCCGGAGACGGGGCGCGAGGCCCGGGCCCCGAGCTTCGACTGCGGGGATCCCCGGCGCCGGGAGGGGGTGCAGCCGTGGGCAGCGCCGCGCAGGGAGGGGCCGCAGCATCCTCGCCCCCTGCGCGCCCGGGCCCGAGAGGAGGAGGCCGGGGCTCTCGGGGCCTCCCGCCGCTGAGCCTGACGCTGGAGGGGCGAAGGTAGGGGCCGCCGGAGGGGCCCGAGGGAGGTGGTCGCGCGGGCAACAAAGGACGGAGAGATGCGGGGGGCGGCGGAGCGGGGCATTGTCGGGGCGTGGGCAGGGGCGGGAGGGTTCGAGGCCGGCCGGTGGGCGTGGGCGGGAGCTGGCTGGGGTGCGCCCCAACTTCCCGGTCGCTTGCGGGAGAGGAGGGGGACGCTGCTGGGGTGCCAGGGTTGGGGGCGATTCCCGGGCTGCGGGTCTCCCTGGTGAAGGCATCACGAGCCTCCTCGGGGTCCCCACCCACGGATGGGGGTTAGGCCTATCTGTTGGGGGACCACCGGTCCCCCCTCCCAAGGGCAGAGCTAGACGGCTGGACGCGCTGCCGGGAGGGCACAGTCTGGTGGGCGCGGCCGTGCAGACCCCATCTCCAAACCTGGGGTCTGGGAGATCGGGGACTCCTCGGCTCTTCCCTGCTACACCCTCTGGGGTCGCCTGTCCGATGCCTTTTGCAAAACTTGTTTGAACTGCACGGCTGAGTAGGGGTAGAAGGAGATTGAGGCGGGCGGCTTCCCTCAGGGGTGCCCCCCCAAGCTGGCGCCGGTGACTGGTGAGGCAGCAGATTTTCTGCCTTCCTCCCGGGGAGGGGCGGTGGCCTTGGAGGATGCTTGGCCAAGCCTCCAGGGCCCGCCCGTTTGGACCTTTCAGGCGGAGCTTGGGCCGAGCGGGTGCCCACTGGGCACTGCCACGCAGGCCCCAGCGCTACCCTGGGAAGGACGGGCAGAGAGAGCACCTTGTGGGGAAATCACCCACCCAGCAGTGTGTTCCCTAACGTCCGAGACCCCTCCTCTCTCTTCTGGGTGCGAAATGGGGATATGGGATGAAGGGGGCTGCCCTCACTCTTGCATGATGGCATAGAGAGGTGGGTGCGGGTGGCCTAGGGCTGTGGGCAGAGGAGGAGGAGGAGGAGGAGGGGGCGGGGAGCACCACGTGTGTGCTCCAGAAGCCTTTTCCCCTTCGGTTGTAAATGTAAACAATAAGCCCTTCATTCATTCAGCTGCTGTTACCTGACCCAGCACTTCTAGGGGCTGGTTGGTACATAGGACGGGAACCTCCGTGCCCGCAGGAAGTGCAGCCCCGGGGGGTTGATGAGTGCATTAATGTGGGGAAGCAGGGGGCATACAGGGGGACCCCTGGAGGGTGGGTCAGACTAGAAAGCTTAATAGAACATCATGCAGAAGTTTGCTGCCAGGATGCTTGAAGGGGGTTTAGTGTAGGAGAAATAGCGTGGATAAGGGTTTGGAGTCAGAAAAGGAGGCTATTGGGTTAGAGAAACGGCGTAGGAATTAGAGGACTTGGACCTGCGGTTGAGCACAGGATGCATAGCCTGGGAAAGATGTGGGGGTTCTGGCTTCAGGACAGGTGGAGGGGTGGAGATGGAGAGGGGCTGCAAAGGCAGAAGACGAAGGTGGAGGCACCTGAGAGGAGCGTCCTCTGCACACATTTGTGTGCACCTGCAAACTCCAGCCCGAGGCTGGGAAGGTGGCGCCTGGAATTCTGCACTCAGAGCCCAAAATCCCAGCAGCGGGAGTGACTCCAAGGAGCACGAATCGCTTTCCAGCATCTGCTGTCTACCTTGGCAGTGAAGAGTTCAGATGCTGGAGCTTAACGGCCTGGGTTCAAATCCCAGCTCTGCCACTCCCTAGCTCTGTGATCCTGCACACTGCAGCTCTCTCTGCCTCAACTTCCTTATCTGTAAAAGTGAGATCCTTGTGATATTAGCCTTTTAGGGTTGCTGGGGGAACTGCGTGCCCTGTGACCTAGTAGACGTCCCGTATGTGTTGTTGCTATTACACAGAGTGACTCCCCAGCCTCCACTCACGCACGTTGCAGGGAGAGGAGGCTTGTGTCCACCCCAGGCTGCTTGTCCTTCTTCCAGCAGGCTTGCTGGTTAGCCCTGACCCGGGACCTGCTCTTCACTGCAGCCTCCTCCCTGGTCCCGCCTCCCTTGGTGATAGAAAGTAGAAAGGCATCTCCCCACAGCCCCAGCTGTCCCTGCTCCCCACCTAGCAGGCTGCCCACGTGTGGTCCCCCAGTTCCCTCTTGGCCTCCCCTCAGGCCCTGCCACACTGACAGTTGGTCCTGCTGTCTCTCTTTTTTTTTTGAAACGGAGTTTCTCTCTTGTTGTCCAGGCTGGAGTGCAATAGCATGATCTCAGCTCACTGCAACCCCTGCCTCCTGAGTTCAAGCAATTCTCTTGCGCCAACCTCCCAAGTAGCTGGGATTACAGGCATGTGCCACCATACCCGGCGAATTTTTTGGTGTTTTTAGTAGAAATGGGGTTTCACCATGTTGGCCGGGCTGGTCTTGAACTCCTGACCTCAGGTGATCCTCCGGCCTCAGCCTCCCAAAGTGCTGGCATTACAGGCGTGAGCCACCACACCCAGCCAGTCCTGGCTTCTTGACACCACCTGCTCTACCTCCATTTTCATACCCGGGGGAGGGAAGCTACATTTGTGACCCTCTGGTTCCCTGCCCACTGGCTCTTGGGAGAATCTCAGCTTTTGTGCAGGTTTTTAAAAAATGTATTAAGTGCTTACTTTGTGGAGAATGGTTCTGAGCCACCCCCCCCGCCCCCGCCACCGCCTTTTATTTCTTTTTAACACGGACTCTTGCTCTGTTGCCCAGGCTGGAGTGCCGTGGTACAATCTTGGCTCACTGCAACCTCCGCCTCCTGGAATCAAGTGATTCCTTTGCCTCAGCCTCCCGAGTAGCTGGGACTACAGGGCACGTCATCACAACTGGCTAATTTTTTGTAGTTTTACTAGAGATGGGGCTTCACCATGTTGGCCAAGCTGGTCTCCAACTCCTAACCTCAAGTGATCTGCCCACCTTGGCCTCCCAAAGTGCTGGGATTACAGGCATGAGCCACCGCGCCCGGTCTGGTTCTAAACTCTTTCATTTCATTCCTTCATTTGTGGATACTTTAATAAGGCTGCCTACATTTTACAGATAAGAATATCCTGGCACAAAGAGGTGGCTGTGTTTGCCCTTGATGCTATTTTTTTTTTTTTTTTTTTTTTTTTTGAGATGAAGTCTTGCACTGTGGCCTGGCTGGAGTGCAGTGTGGCTCACCGCAACCTCTCCCTCCCGGGTTCACGCCATTCTCCTGCCTCAGCCTCCTGAGACGCTGAGGTTACAGGTGCATACCACCACATCCAGCTAATTTTTTGTATTTTTAGTAGAAACGGGGTTTCACTATGTTGGCCAGACTGGTCTCCAACTCCTGACCTCGTGATTCTCCGCCCCAACCTCCCAAGGTGCTGGGATTAAAGGCATGAGCCATGGTGCTCAGCCCCTTGATGCATTTGCTAAGCACCTACTGTATGCCTGGAAGGCATGCCACACCATTCTACCCCACCCTCTTCAGGTTCATTTCCCTGAGCAGTTACGATCCTGCCTTCTCAGACACCCACCCCTTTTGCTCAGGTGCAAAGTCCAAACACGCTATCTGGCTTTTAGGGTCCGCCCCCAAAGGGTTGTATCTTTCCACTGCGGCTCTCCCCAGGCTCCCAGGCTGGGCACACCCAGACTTGCCTCACCTAAGGCTGCCCTGGCTCCTTAAATAAACAGTGAGGAGTGGGCATGGTCCGAGGATCGGGGCTGGCTTTGAGGGCACTGTGGGGGCGCTCTGCGATCCCATACCTTCGGGATTATTTTGTTGCTGGGAACAGGAACCTCCTTCAATTAGGTTAAGCGAAGAGGGACTTGAGGGTGCAGGACAGAGAACGTGTGCAGCAGACAGCTGCAGGCAAGCTGGCCCCCCGGGACCCCGGAAGCTGGCAGGCAGCTCCTCCTCCGGCTTTCCTCCCTGTGGACTGCGGTTTCATTTTCCCGCCTCTCCCAGGGCATCCGTCCCGTCTCCTTTCCCCCACAGTCGTGGTCGCCTTGTGTTGTGAGCGTGGCTGTGTTGGACAGAGCCGCAGCCTGAGTCCATTGGACCCTCAGTGGGACGAGACCCCCCGTTAGAGTCTCTTTCATCTTGGGGTGCAGAGAGACACCGATTGGTCCAGCCTGAATGAGGAAGCCCACCCGCCTCTGCTCAGCTGGTGGAGGGGGCAGGCCACGTGGTCTCTGGGGCTGGCACAGCCGGGGTAATTGTTTGGCTGCATTGATGATGAAGGTCGCTTGCTAGGTGAGGACTGGTGAATCTGGGCGTTCAGGGAGCTCATGATCTGATGGGGGAGGCAGACCCATGGTCAATTGGCCACTGTGCCACAGGATGTGGGACTGATCACTTGCGGTGTGATTTGTTCAGAGAAAGCAGAGCACACACTTCAGGCCAGTGTGGGGAGAAGAGGACAGGTGGGATGGCCAGGGCTGCCCGCCGTTAGCGTCCCCCAGCCCTGACCTGGGACAAGAGGAGGCTCTCTCCTTTCAGGACCTCGAGATTTGGGTTCTATCGGCAGTGTGGGACTCTAAGAATTTTTTTTGGAGATGGAGTTTCGCTCTTGTTGCCAAGGCTGGAGTGCAATGGTGCAATCTTGGCTCACTGCAACCTCCGCTTCCTGGGTTCAAGCGATTCTCCCGCCTCAGCCTTTCCACTAGCTGGGATTACAGGTAATTTTGTGTTTTTACATAGAGACAGGGTTTCTCCATGTTGGTCAGGCTGGTCTTCAACTCCAGACCTCAGGTAATCTGCCCACCTCGGCCTCCCAAAGTGCTGGGATTACAGGCTGGACCCGAGCTTTTGAACCTCCTACCCTTGCTCTTCTCTCTGAGCTTCAGGGGTAGGGCCACCACAACAGAAGCAGTAATGCAAAACTCATGTTTGCAGAGGAAATGCTTCGAAATGTTAATGAAATGTTTCCCTTCTGAGTAGAAGGCAGAAGGGGCCAGATGGCTTTTATTAACGAGGCAAGAATTTAGGGCCCTCTCCACTCACCGGCTTCTGTCTTGACGGAGTGTTTCTCACTCCATGGCTGGGATCCTACCTTCCACTCCAGCCCGAGCCCTGAGTGA